CTAGGCTTCAACAGTATGTGAACTGAAAACTTCCAGATGTACAAGCTGAATTTAAAAAAGGCGGAGGAATCAAACATCAAATTGCCAGCATTTGTTGGATCATAGAAAAAGCAAGGGAATTCCAGAAAAACATCTTCTGCTTCATTGACTATGCTAAAGCCTTTGACTGTGTGGATCAAAACAAACTGTGGAAAATTCTTAAAGAGATGCGAATACCAGATGCTTTACTTGTCTTCTGAGAAACCTGTATGCAGATCAAGAAGCAACAGTTAGAACCAGACATGAAACAATGGACCGGTTCAAAATTGGGCAAGGAGTACATCAAGGGTGTATATTGTCACCCTGCTTATTTAACTTCTATGCAGAACACAGCATGCAAAATTCTGGGCTGGATGAATCACAAGCTAGAATCAAGATTGCTGGGAGGAATATCAATAACGTCAGATATGGCGATGATACTATTCTAATGACAGAAAGTGAAGAGGAACTAAAGAGCCTCTTGATGAAAGTGAAAGAGGAGTGTGAAAAAGCTTGCTTAAAACTCAACATTCAAAAATTTAAGCCCATAGAATCTGATTCCATCCCTTCATGGCAAATAGATGGGGAAAAAGAGGAAATGGTGACAGATTTTATTTTCTCGGGTTCCAAAATTACTATGAATGGTGACTGCAGCCATGAAATTAAAAGACACTTGCTTCTTTGAAGAAAATCTATGACAAGCCTAGACTGAATATTAAAAAGCAGAGAATCACTTTGCCAACAAAGGTCGATACGGTCAAAGATATGGTTTTTCTGGGAGTCATGTACGGATGTGAGAGGTGGACCATAAAGAAGGCTGAGTGCTGAAGAAATGATGCTTAGACCTTGATTCTGGGAAAGGTTGAGGGCAGGAGGAGAAGGGGGTAACAGAGTTTGAGATATCTGGATGGCATCGACTCAGTGGACATGAGTTTGAGCAAACTCCAGGAAATACTGAACGACAGAAAAGCCTGGTGTGTTGTAGTCCATAAGGCTGCAAAGAGTTGGACACTTAGCAGCTGAACAAAGAAGTAAGTATTAGAAAAATGTCAGGATGTGGAGGAATAAAAAAGACTGTTAGATGACAGCTACCTAGTGGCAAGTTCACAAATGCTGTAAACCAATGATAGTAATTCCTGGAGGAGGAAATGGCAACCCACTCCAGTATTCTTGCCTGGAAAATCCCTTGTCCAGAGGAACCTGGAATCCATAGGGTCACAGTCAGACACAACAGGGTGACTAAGTGCACAATGGCAGTAGTTGCAGTGTTAACAGAATGTAGCAACACTAGCCTTACCTTTCTCTTCCAACTGACATTCATCGTTCCCAGAGCACATCTTTTTCTGAAGAGTAGAAGGAACCAAAAGAAATTAAATTTTACTGACACCTTAACATTATTAAGAGGCTATATAAAACAGTGATTAAGAACATGGGGACTGAGGTTATATATATCAGGGTTCCAATTCCAGCTTCATGACTTATTAGCCATAAAGTTTGGTAAGTAACTTAATCTCAGTGTCCTCATCTGCAAAATGGAATAATAATACCAACTTGGAAGCTTTCTGGACATTAAATAATATATCTAAAATCTGGAATGGACTAAAAAAAGAGGCTGATAAATGGTGGTTAACTTTATCTATTATGATCCCATTTCCCTGTCAAGAGCTTTACATACTTATCCCATCAATCCTATTAAATGGACATGATCTATTTAAAAAAAAAACAACAAAATTTAACTGAGTAAATTTGAAGATCTAATTGGCTTTATAAAATGATTCATGAATTGGACAGCCTCTCATCTCGAAAACAAAGAGCTACTCGGAGAGGTTACACAGCAAAGAAAGTTTTTATAGTAAAGATGGCAGGACAAGGAAAAGACATTATTAGCAAAGAAAAAATAAAATTTCATTGCAGGACAGTAAAAGTTGAGGTGATGCTGGCTCCTCACTGGCTGAGCTGTGGTGTTTTCCATTGGCTTGACTTGTTGGGCAAGAAGGAATTTATTCTTCCTGCCCTGGGGTAGTAAAGTAGTTGTACTTCCTGTTTGTGAGTGCAAATTACTTCCTGGGGTAAGTAACTGATTAGCTTCCTGTTGGGGTAATTGTCCTCTTCCTTTTTGGGGTAATTGACAATGAATGGTAGGGTGTGAGAGCTCCCTCCATAGGCCTTTCAGACTGATTTTAGTTGAGATTTCCTTTTATTAACTTCAACACATACTTATGTTATTAATCCTATAAAATGGACATAATCCTTCCCATTCTATAGATGAAGAAATTGAAGTAAAAGAATTTGTGAGATAAAATAGGTATCATACTAGTTATATTGCAAACGAAGAAATGGAAGCATGGATTATTTAAATAACACCTGAGTGTTTCAAAGTAAAGCAATGTGGAGATAGGATCCAAAGTCATGTCTGTCTGACCTGATATTTGGCAATACTATATTAATTGTCTGGGGATTCCCTGGTGGTTCAGTGGTAAAGAATTCGCCTGCCGGTGTGGGAGACACTGGTTTGATCCCTGGGTCAGGAAGATCTCCTGGAGAAAGAAATGTCAACCCACTCCAGTATTTTTGCCTGGGAAATCCCCTGGACAGAGGAGCCTGGAGGGCTACAGTCCATAGCGTCACAAAAGAGTGGTACACAACTTAGTGACTAAATAACAACAACAATGTATTAGTTGTCACCCCTGACAGGTTGTCACGGTCATGGTGATATTTGCTATATGCATTAATTTTTAAGAATCAATTTTCTTTACAAATGGGGATATCCCCGTGACTCCTTTCAGTAAGGGCCAGAGTCACAACATTTAGGGAAGAAGCAAGTGTTCCCAAATGGTATTTTCTTCACTGGTTCTGTGCTTGTCAAAGCCATAGGCCATCCATTTTCCTCGGATTTCTTTTTAAATTTTATTTATTTATTTAGGCTGTGCTGGGTCTTCATTACTTTGTGTGGGTTTTCGCTAGTTGCAGCGAGCGGAGGCTATTCCTCATTGATGTGCTTGAGCTTCTCATTGCAGTGGCTTCTCTTTTTGTGCAGCACTAACTTTAGGAACAGGGGCTTCAGTAGTTGCAGCATGCAAGCTCAGGAGTTGCAGCACATGGGCTCAGTAGTTGAGGCGGATGTGCTCTAGGGTGGGCAGGCTTCAGTAGTTGTGGCTCACGGGCCCTAAAGCATAGGCTCAGTGGTTGTGGCCCCCAGCTTTAGTTGCTCCAGTTCCTGTGGAGTCTTCCCAGTCCAGGGATCGAACCTGTGTCCCCTGCATTAGCAGGCGGATTCTTATCCACTGTGCCACCAGGAAGGTCCCTACTCCGATTTCTAATATAACACAAACAATCTATGATCAGCCTTCTGCAGTTGTCCTGATCAATCACAAGTATTTTCTGAAATTGAATTATTTCAAATGGTACTGTGTCAGGCGTTCTGTAACTCCTTTACTTGAGTTTACAATCTACTGATGAACCAACATAAAGATATCAAAACAATTAGCAACGAATGTCAAAGAACAGTAAATAGATATTTAATTAGTTATTGATTAAACAATATTAAAATTAATATTTGATAAATATTATACAGTAAATAATTACAAGTATTGTAGTAGTTGAGCTGTAAATTCAATTCTGAGTTTCTCAGCAGAAGTGAACATGATTATAAGGGCAGAGATACCAGAGGAAGCAGTTTTTCCTTGTATTCAACTTCAAGAGATTGCAAAAGTGTTACTTTACAGAAGATAGAGTAAAAGATGCCCTCAGTGACATTCTCACAGCAGACACAAAAATGGAACCCAGTTGGCTTTATCTTTTTACTTTGCATAAAGCTGAGGGTCTAACATTGGAGGCGTGTGTGCTAAGTCACTTCAGTCATGTCTGACTCTACCACCCCATGGACTGTATCTCGCCAGGCTCCTCTGTCCATAGAGTTTTTTGGACAAGAATACTGGAGAGGGTTGCCATTTTCTGCTCAAGGAGAGCTTCCTGACCTAGGGATCGAACTCAAGTCTCTTGCATCTCTTGCATTGGCAGGTGGATTCTTTATCACTGTGCCACCTGGGAAGACCACTTTGATGGGCACTTACATTTTAAGTTGATATTCTGCCTTTCTGGTTGAGGAAAAGGCCTCTGTGCTCTAAATCCCACCTCTGCACAAGGTTGGGCTGAGCCTCTTTGTTAAAATGGTGGCGCCAGATTACGACTGGACTCTGGGAAGGGTCGTGCCACCTGCCTGAGTTAGTGGGCTGAGAACCCTTGTTTTTACTGGCTGTTTTCATGCCCTTCCTGAACTCCCTATGGTACTAATCACCTATGTTTACAGGCACGTTTAGCTGATAACCCACGACTCTTACGGGGCTTTGCTGGAGGCTCAGTGGTAAAGAACTTAACCACTGGGGAAGATCTCCTGAAGAAGGGAGTGGCAACCCACTCCAGTACTCTTGCCTGGGAAATCCCACTGACAGAGGAGCCTGTGGGCTACAGTCCATGGGGTCGCAAAGAGTCGGACATGACTTAGCGATTAAGCAACAATATCAAGACTCAACATGCGTGAGAAAACCGGAGTCTCAGGCAGGGCTTCTAGCCTGTCAGCCAAACTTCTACCCTGTCAGCCAAACCTGAGACCAAACATTTCGGTTTACCCTTGCAGCTAACTCAGGACCCCAGAGAGTGCAGGGACTCTCGCCCAGGAATTCTTGTTTCCCTAAGAATATTCCACAGCCTTGGAGAGTTACTTTCCCGCTGCCTTGAGTGGACAAGCTAGTACACCTCGTGTCAGACAAGGGAGGCCTGAGCGTGTGGAAAGTTCCGTCATCGGCGCTGGGCGGGGCGAGGATTCCCAGTCTGAGCCTGTCAGCCGAAGGAGACCCCGGGGGCGTGGCTGCGCGGGGCGGTCCGGGGGCGGGGCCTGGGCGTGCCCTGCGGCGTGCGCGGGGCTGGCGAGCGCGCGACGGGGGCGGGGCAGCAGCTGCGGGCCCACGCCGTAAACAGACAACATGGCGGTGGCGGCTGCCGCGGCACCTGGGGCCTTGGGTACCTTGCAGGCCGGCCGTGCCCGCTTGGTGGCCGCTTGCTGTGCGCGGCTAGGCCCCAGGTGGAGGCTGCCCGGTTCCTGGACGTGCTCGCGGGTCGACTCGACGATATGGGCCCGGGGCTGGACGCCCGCGGCCGGGGGAGCGGCCTGGCCGAGGGGCTACAGCGCAGAGGTTAAGACTGAGGACGAGCTGCGGGTGCGGTACCTGGAGGAGGAGAACCGAGGTGAGGGGTGTGACCCGGGTGACCGCGGGTCTTAGGAAAGGGTCTCAAGGTCGCGTGTTCGGGCTGACGTCAGTGTCTACGGAGAGGCTCGAGGAGGGGTGTCCTCCCTTCCCCCACTCACGCTTTGCAGCTTTTAGTGCTTTCCAAGCGTAAAGAGGGCTTCCCTGGTAGCTCAGCTGGTAGAGAATCTGCCTGCAATGCGGGAGACCTGCTTCGATCTGTGGGTTCGATCCCTGGGTTGGGAAGATCCCCTGGAGGAGGGCATGGCAACCCACTCCAGTATTCTTCCCTGGAGAATTCCATGGACAGAGGAGCCTGGCGGGCTTCAGTCCCTGGGGTGGAAAAGAATCGGATACGACTAAGCAACTAAGCACATGCCTAAAGATGTACTACGGAGCAGCTTACCTGCAAAAGAGGCCCTTGGCGCCAAAGACAGAAATGCAGCTTACGCTTTCATCTGTAATGAGCCAAGGTTAATAAACGGGTGAATGATATTTGCTTCCAGATTTCGTTCTTGCTCTGTAACTGCTTTCGGTTAACTCAGCTATGGAGGGGAGAGTTTTAGAAGCTGCAGTGAAAGTGCGCTTTATTAGAGTATTCGTCAATTTAAAGCTGTTCATCTGGAAAAAAAATTTCCCTTTGTTCATTTTATCTTAGAAAGATAGTTTTGTGGACTATTTCACTTCACAGTTAGACAATTTTGAGTATTTTCTTGGTTTTCCAGTTCCTTTGCTAAGCCTGGAGGAGACACAATCGGGGATGGTATTGATGTTGCCCTTGAGCTCCTTTAGTGGGAGGAGACAGATGCTTTAGCAAAATAGTACAGTGGGAGGAAGGGTTATGATCCAGGGTGTGTGCCAGTCGGTAGGAATGCTGTTAAAGCCCAGCTCCTTTCACTTGCCTTGTTGGGAGAAGCTAAATGGATCATGAAAGGTGGAAATAGCAGTGTGCCAGAAGGGTAGTCTCTGAATTTTGACATGCAGTTATTGAGCACCTATAATCTGTTAAGCAGAAGTGCAAAACCAGTTAAGTCATGATTGATACCTTGAAGCTCCTAGTATAGTGAGAAAGATACTGGTGATTAAAAAAATTATGCTAACTTTAAAGGCTTGATGAGAGCAAAAGGTTGTAATACCCGAAATAGGCATATGATCGGCTATATTCGGTGAGATTGGAAGATTCCAGAGGGGAGGTTCTGAGGGTCAAGTTAGGATTTTGCCAGATGTATATGCTGTCCAAAGCATTCCTTGCAATGGAATTTGACATTACTGAGGCAAACTTCTCTGTGCTTCAACTTTCTTGTGTGTAATATAGAAAAAGTAATACAGACTTTGTATGGCTGCTATGGAGACTAAATGGGAGTGTGATATTAATTGCCCACTAAGTATCAATCTAGCTCTCAGTGGGTGCTCTGAAGTATATGATGAGTTATTTCATTTATTTATTATTCCTGACAGAAGAGCATGGTTAAAGGCATGAAATATGAACATGTATGGTGTTCTGGGGAAGTGACATAGGGCAAGTGTGGTTGTAGTATGGAATGACAGGTAGAATACTGAGAAATTCAATTGGAAAGTAGATTAGCACTGGAGTGACTAGAGCCGTGAATCCTCCTATCTTTTGGGTAAGCTTAGTCTTGTCAGGATTTCAGTTACATTAGGTATACCAACAGTACATTAGATACAAAAGCATTGCAGGTACAGCAAGTAATATGCACCATAGTCTGTATTTTTTTAACCTAAATAATGCACGCTGAGCATTAATTTTCATAAAATTTCTGAGAAGTCCTTCAGTTAGGTTTCAACTGGATGAAGGGAAAGAAATCAGAGTATAAATTCAGAATGTTTTCAGTCACTTGAAATGTAAAAATCAGCTATTAGTAAATAACAGTTTTTTAAGAAAAGTGACCCGCTTCCTTTCAGGATTGGCCAGGTGACAACTTAGTTTTGTCTAACATTATATATGCTTTGCTTTACTGTCAAACCAGCAATAAGCAGTGCAAAGAAAAACATCCTGGAAAGGCTGATGAAAGTGAAGGAGTCTCCGTGGTGTCTTTGCGTCTCATTAGAGGCGAGTCCAAAATTTTGTCCTCTCAGTGGTCTGCAGGCAGTATGATGACTCTGCTAGCGGTCAGAGGAGCCCCAAACTGCTCTCTGCCCTGTCGGCCTTGTTAGGCTGCTGGAGGTAGGTAAGTGCAGAATATATCAGCTCTCATAGGTTTTCTGAGTTCCATATTTGTAACTGATTGCGGAAGCTCAGTTAGACACCAGCTTTCTTGAGCCGTTTCTTGCATTGTTGTGCAGCCTACTGAGCGTTTAGGGCAGTGGTACTGGTTATGGTTTACAAAGGTCTCTTCCTGGTTTCCTGCAGTGGCCTCTTTTATAGGTCTCCAGTCATTCTCCTTCCCAGTTCATTCTTTGCCTTGGTGCTGGAGTTATTTTTTCAAGGCCAAGCAAGAATTGCATCTCTGTTCATTTAGAAACCTCTAGTGTTCTCTAATGGGGAAGGCAGTGGTGACCCACTCCAGTACTCTTGCCTGGAAAATCTCATGGACAGAGGCGCCTGGTGGGCTGCAGTCCATGGGGTCGCGAAGAGTCGGGCACCACTGAGCAACTTCACTTTCACTTTTCACTTTCACGCATTGGAGAAGGAAATGGCAGCCCACTCCAGTGTTCTTGCCTGGAGAATCCCAGGGACGGGGGAGCCTGGTGGGCTGCCGCCTATGGGGTCGCGCAGAGTCGGACACGACTGAAGCGACTTAGCAGCAGCAGTGCTCTCTAATGTCTGTAGGCTCTCACACCTACAGATATTAACAGATCATTCATCTCCTTTCTGCTGCACCTAAGCCTTACCTTTTCCTGCTCTTATGTGTCAGTGGTTCTGCACACACCTTCTGGAATGACCTGTCTCCTGTCCCTACCAACCTTTTCCCAGTCCAACAGACTTCTGCTCGTAATTGTGACCCATTTTAAAAATAGTTTTTCTGAACTTTGTCCCAACTTCTGGCAGAAAGAGAACAAATAAGCAAATGCATAATGCAAGTTATTCTTATTACCTGCTCCTTCCTCATCCATTCACATCTTCTGGAGTGTCTTTATAGTCCTTCCACTTTTCTCTGTGTTCTTTACCAGCACTATTCTTGTCCAAGCCTGTATCACCTCTCAAGTGGATTGTTGCAGAGTTCAGCTAGCTTGCCTTCCTACTGTTTTAACAGATTGATTCCTTTCATGTTTTTCTCATGTTTCAAAAAATGTATTTTCATGTATTTTATGGTGTGTGAATTCTCTCTCAATAAAGTTCTCGATTTAGATAGACATGTATATTTTATTTTTTAATTTATTTATTTTTTTGGTATTTTAAAATTTTTATTGAGATAATTCACATTATAAAATTAAAAATGTACCATTGTTTTTAGTATATTTATAGAGTTAAGCAACCATCACCATGATCTAGTTTTAGAACATTTTTATCACTCTAGAAAGAAACCATGTTTTCTTTAACAGTGACTCCCCACTCTGAGTGCTCCCTCTCCCTCCAAACTAAGACCCATTTGTCATCTACTTTCTGTCTCAAAAGATTTTTTTTTCCAACAACATACTTTATTTTTAAAAAATTATTTATTTTTAATTGGAGGATGATTGCTTTACAATATTGTGTTGGTTTCTGCCATGTATCAACATGAATCAGTCATAGGTATATGTATGTCCCCTCCCTCTTGAAACTCCCTCCAACCAATAGATTTTTCTGCTTTGGACATTTCACATAAAGAAATCATCTGTGGTTATTTATGGCTTTTTCACTTGGCAGTATGCTCTTATTCTCTTATGTTGTGACATGTATCAGTGCTTCATTTCTTTTTATGACTGGATAGTGTTCCATTGTTTGGATTTTTTTGTCTGTTCATTATTGATGTGCATTTGGATCATTTCCACTTTTTGAATCTTGTGAACGGCCCTGCTTAGAACATTTCTGTATAAATTTATATGGATACCCTTTTTATTTCCACTTGGGAGTGCAATTGCTGGATCCTATGACGATTGTAATTTTATGATTAACATTTTGAGGAACTGCCAGTTTTCCAAAGTGCCTGCAGCATTTTCCATTTCCACCAGCAAAGTGTAAGGGTTCTAATTTCTTCATATGACCAATATTTGGGGTTTTGATTATAGCCACTGTGTGTGTTGTGAAGTGATATCTCAGTGTGGCTTTGATTTGGACTTAAGCTGGAGAAGGAAATGGCAACCCACTCCAGTACCCTTGCCTGGAAAATCCCATGGACAGAGGAGCCTGGTAGGCTACAGTCCATGGGGTCGCAAAGAGTTGGACACGACTGAGTGACTTTACTTTCACTTTAATGGTTAAAGATGTTGACTATGAGGATCTTTTCACATGCTTATTGTCCATGTGTATATCTTCTTTAGAGAAATGTCTTCTCAAATCCTTTTTAATGGGGTTGTTCTTTTGCTGTTGAATTGTAAGTGTTCTTTATATATTCTGGATACAAGTCCCTATTCAGATATATAACTTGAATATATTTTCTCCTGTTCTATGGGTTGTCTTTTCATCCTTGTTAATTTTGAAGAACCTAAGTTTTTAATTATGGCGTAGTACAATTTTCATGGACAGAGGAGTGTGGTAGGCTACAGTTCTTGGACTTGCAAGAGTTGGACATGACTTAGCCACTAAACCAACAACCGACCAAGAATTTATTTATTTATTTATTTTTGTTGTTCAGTATCAAAGAATCTCTAGAGAATTCTCAGTTTTTTTCAAGAAAGTCACATCAACTGAGATTTTGATAGGCATTGCATTGAATAGGTAGATCGATTTGGGGAATATTGCATTTTTAACAGTGTTAAATTTAGCATTCCATGAACATGGAATATCTTTTCACTCAGCAGTGTTTTGTATTTTTTCAGTGTATAAGTCTTGCCTGATTTTTATTAAATTTATTTCTAATTATTTCATTCTTTTTGGATGCTACTGTAAATGGAATTGTT